TTAACAAAACTTCTCAAATGTTATTAAAGTAATATTATTAAAATAATTAAAGTAATATTTACATTTAAAGAATTAATTAAATAAGAACGCCTTCGCAAAGGAAACGCAACTACAACACGCTCCTGTATTGCGGGTATTGCATTGACTTTCTGCAGGCGTTTTTAATCTTTTTTTTTATTCTCGTCTCGATAAAAATCTCGGCCAAAAAGAAATCTCGTCTCGTGTAACGAGATTTAAAATTTCCCGAAAATTTCCCGAAATTTCGAGACTTGACCATCCCTATGCAGAAGCTATAAGCTCATTATTATCTCTGTCATTGACACACATGACAGAATCATCTCTGTATCTCATAAGTATTTTTATTCCATCACGTTTTCTCAGGTTATAAATCTCCTCTTGTAATACATCACTTGGAATAGCGTTATCTTCACTAGGGAACAAAATGTCTTGCTCATCAGTATCATTGGTACCTGGATATATATTTTTTTCATATTCATATTCTTTATTCATATTTTTTGTACAAAGGTGGTACAATGAATAGCGTCAATAAAAATAAATACAATTACAATGATATTAGTAAATATTAACAAGTAAAATAATAACAAGTCTGTAGCTAGTCAAGAATGAAATACAAAATTAAAATAACTTAATGCTACCTATGCCAGGGAGGTGGAGAACTCTTCCATAGATAAATAGCTAAATTTAATATATAATCTTTGAGTAATTTTTTAAACTTATTAAAATCTGTTTCTTTTTTTATATTTTTGGGGATAAATTTTAAAAATCTTTGGCCTGCATTGGACGGTTTTTTTCATAAAACTTGAGCCTATGAGGTTCAACAACCCCACTTTTTTCCCTAAGCTTATAGTTGTGGCTTGTAATCGGTTTTTCACTCAAATCTTGTTTTCTAGCAATAAGAATAACTTCATATATATATTGTTCATAAACTGTAAAATTTTTAGATGTGTAAAGTGTTGTTTGCATGAATCATCCCCCTTAAGCTTGAGCATTATCCTGATAGCTTTTTTTTGCTGTTTTAAAATAGAGTCCATATTTCTTTGTTTTGTTGAACCGTATAATGCTATGCCGAATTGGATATGGGAATGTACATGAGCAAAATATATATTCTTTAAAGTGTTTATATTGCAATAAAAAGACATTTTTGATAGAGCATAAACTCCAGAATTAATCTTTAGCAGGATCTTTTTAACATGCTCATCCCAATTTAGGTGCTCATCTATCGTTAAGCCTAGAAAATTTATACTACTTTCCCTGTTGATGTTTCGTGATTTATATTCTAGTGTTGGATCTGAAGATTTTCGGTTTTGTTGTGTTTTAAACGTTATGAACTTAGTTTTTTCAGAATTTAAAATAAGGTTATGATCATGTAAGTAGTCTCCAATGTTATTAAGTTCATTAGAAGAAAAAATTTGTATCTCCTCCAATGAGTCAGCTGATAAAATTAAATTTGAGTCATCAGCGTAGAGACATAATTTTGAATTTTGTTTATGAATTATCATATTTTCCATGCCCCTCAAGTAACACAAAAAGAGCAAAGGCCCAAGAATAGAACCTTGAGGCACCCCAAATTTGGCTGGTCTATAAGCTGAGTTTGATTTAATTCCTTTATTTTTATCCGTTAGATGAGATATTTCTACATATTGAGACCTATTTGTTAAATATGAAGTGAACCAATCAAGAGATCTTCTTGATACTCCCAGAATTTTAAGCTTTTCTAGAAGTTTAGAGTGTTTGACACTATCAAAAGCTTTTGAAAGGTCCATGAATATACCTGTTGTAAACTTACCGTGGTCAACTGAGTTGATCACGGTTTCAACCAAAGATACAGCTGCACTGACAACAGATCTCCCCCTTCGGAAGCCATGTTGATTTTCATCCAGCATTCTAAAACTCTCCAAATATTCATAAAATTGTAGATACACAGCTTTTTCATATATTTTTGAAATGGACGGAAGTATAGATAACGGTCGATAATTTGATACATTTGATGTGTCGTTCTTTTTATGTAATGGAATTAATTTTGCTTGCTTTAATTTTTCTGGGAATATTCCTGATACAAATGAAGAATTTATCAAATGGCACAGAATTTTATTAATGTTATTTTTAACACCCTTAATCACTGTGACTGGGATTTCGTCATGGCCACAAGAATACTTGTTTTTAGCGAATTTCCCATATAGGGAATAAGCTATTACCGTAGTACTCATGGTAAGACCTGGACGCGGGACCGATTTTTTATTTCGTTTTGAGGTCCCTATAGGCCAAAAACACCATCCATTCAAATTCATATATATATATTTATATATATATATGTGTGTCCGTTAGCACGATAACTCGAGCAAAGATGATCAGATTTTGATGAAATTTGGTACAAACGTGTAAACCTACGTTTATTCGAACGAGTTCGCGATCCAGCATGATCGGACCATGAGAACGTGGGTTTACGGGGGGTTTTATGGGGTAAAAATAGGTTTTTCCCATTTTTGACCCAAAAAACATAAAATTTAGCAATTTCTTTCCAAACCATTTTGTAGAGCTTAAAAAACAAATAATTTAGTATATTGAAGCGTTATTATGTGCCTAATGGTTACAGAGAAAATTGAAAAAATTGTTAATTTAAAATTCCCATGTTATTCTTATGGAGAATAAGTAAACTGTTGTAGTTTGCTTGTTTATGAACATATTTTGATCAAATTTGGAAAATGTTTTTATTTCTTACTAACTATTAACATTAAAAAAAAAAAACAGTTTTACCCTCCCTGATGCAGCAAACCTAAGTACTTGTTAAACTAATTCTATTTAAATCGGGAATAAATGTTATATTTGTATGTAGACATTCCAGTGTAAATCAAATCAGTCAAATGGAAATTCGCTTAGTCTGCAGGTTTGCTGCGGCGGGGGTATTTAACGAATTTATGATTCCTTCCACATCCCTCTCACTTATTGGTTTAAGTTCAAATTTTTGCTTAATGTACAAGTCGTCGCTAAAACTATATGTGGGTACATGACAATTCACAGAATTATTATTACCAGTCAGATCAGTTACAATATTACTGAAATGCTCATTGAACATGTTTGCAATTATATTTGGATCAGACACAATACCAGAATCTTGCTTTAAAGTTATATTTTGTGATTGTCTCTCATTTTGACCAACTTCAGAGTTAATTATAGACCAAACTGTTCTTTGAATATTAGTGGAATTTTTAATCTTTTTCTGAAAATAATTATGTTTTGCTTGATTTAGTTCGGTTTTATATAATTTGTTTTCTTTGTCTAGATAACATTTTAAACCCCTACTCTTTTTACTCCGATACTCCTTAGTTGTTTCTATTATCTGCTTTTGTTTATCCTTCAGCTCTTTAGATATCCAGGTACATTTCTTCTTTCTTTTAGTAACCAGTAATTTTGGAAAAGCCTGATCAAAATAGAAGGCAAATAATTTGTAAATTACATCATATACACAATATCTTGCTCATCTTCGTGGAATATATTGTCCTGATTACTGTCAAAACACTGATTTCTGGTCTCATTATTTTGAATTGATTGCCTATTGTCAAGGGGATCATTCTCGATATCACTGCTACTCTCTTCAATGTTAAAATATTGTTTATCAGCGTTATTATTTATTTTCTTCAAAATAAAACATGATTCTTTTGCGGAATGACCTTAACAACCATATTATACAGTTGATTAGCTGTATTAGATATAGCCAAAGCAATGGTTGCTCCGTTTTGAGAAAACACCCATGACTTACCATTGTTTTTCACAGTCTGGTGAATGCCTTTTTCGCCTGCTTTCCTCACAGAGAATAAGTTACAGGCAACTTCAGGACAGTACCAAACATCATCAAAATACCTGTAAGTCCACTGTCTACCATCAAAAACCATAACGTCTATTTTTCCTGACCCCAGGGCCTGAATATGAACACCTTGGCGAGCACTGTCCATCTTTTTAGGAGTATCAAATGGTGTGTAAGTGGCAAACCACTCCCTGCGGTGTGTCACATGGTGAGAAGCACCACTGTCAACAAGCCAGTTGTCACATTCACTGAAAAATGACTTATCAATTAGGCCTACCTCTAGATTTGATCGAGTCATCATTGCAGCATTTTGTATTTCATGGGTACATTCATTTGATTTATGTCCTTTTGTGTGACACTTAAAACAAATTACACCTGTTCGACAGTTTTTAGATAGATGACCATTTTTGCCACATAAAAAACATTTTATCGCTCCTAATTTTTGTAAGTCTCCCTTTTTTGGCATTTTTGGCTCCCATATTTTGACTGTTTAGAACTTACTTTTATTTTGGATACCACGACTACTGCTACATCCATCTTGTCTCTGTCCTTTAGACGCAACTCAAAGTTGAGACATTTCTTCTGTAGAATGTCCCATGTCTTCACCTCCCTTGGTGAGTCGTGCCAAGTCACATATATGTGATCATATTCCTTTGGTAGAGTTTGAAGGAGTCGAGCACACAAATCGTCTTCATTAATAGGCTTACCGTATATTGTTAATTGGTTTTGGATTTTGTCAAATTTTTCCAGATGTCCATTCATTCCAAGGGTAGGTTCCCAAGAAATGTTGGTAAGCTATAAAATGCTGAATAAGGTTTCACAGAATCATACTAGGAACGCTAATACAGAATTGATAACTCTCGTTCTACATTTGTTTATTATCAAACACAACAGTGTATTATGCCATAACTAGTGAAGTTATAATAACCTTAGTTAGGCCTTGTAGGCTATACCTATGGTTACACCAGACAAATCAAAAGGCTGGTTTACCCCCCCCCCCCCCCCCCACCTCAAAATAGACATGTTACAAGACCAACGGTTATATTCCCTATATAGGAAATTCGCTAAAAGAAAAAATACTGAACGCTTATAATAGAAGTGCATCCAATATTTAACATTTCTATCAACCAAAATATTTGTACTCAAAACACCACTTTTGTTTTGTTTTTCCTTTCAGATCTAAATGGCACAGCAATAGGTTCATACGAGGAGGATACAGCCACACTACAAATAAATTTGACAAGAATAACATAAGTCCTGGGGAACTAGCCAAGCCAGTATATGTGAAAAAATATAATTCAGATGAAAACGCAAAGGTAACTTAGCTATAAATTACTTTAGTGTATTTTGTTAAATGATGTAAATGTTGAGAAAACTTTTAAACATGTAAATACTTCTTATGTACAACCCAGAAGCCTACTTGTCAGGGCCTCAACAGGCCCAAGTCATTTTTTATTACATTATTTGTACTCAATCATTTGTGATCTATGATGTTCCAGCATCCTGTATTGATGGCATGGAAAGCACTGCATTGCAAGTAGGGTGAGTCAGTAAAAAGAACAGTTTTTCAGAAGGTACAAAAGAAAGCTCAAACATTATAACATAAATTTATTGATTAAAATACAGATAAAATGAGTGGAAGTTTCTGTAAAAACAAGAAAAAAAGCGTCAAGTCTTAAAAATAACATTGGAAAGAATGCGGCCTTCAACCTGGATGCATTGCTGGAGTCTGGACCGGAAATCCTCAGAAACTACTCGTAATGTTGCAAGTGGGATTGCTTGAATTTGTTGTTGTAGTGTTTCAATAGTAGCAAGAGGTGTTCCAAAAACTTTTAAGTACCTATAAATACCCCCACAAAAAAGTCACAGGAGGTGATCGGGGGGATCAAGGGGGCCAGGCAATGTCCCCATTTCTTGAGATGAGGTGATTCGGGAAGATCGTTGAGAGAAAATTTATGGACAGGTGGACACTCTTGCAGTAGTGTGATCTGTTGCTACATCTTGTTGGAAATAAGAGTCAGCATTCACTTGAAAACGTTGAAATTGAGGCAGTAAAAAGTTTTCTAACATGGGTATGTAGCGTTGAGCATTGACTGTGACAGCATTTTCAGTTTTGTTTTCAAAGAAGTAGGGGCCTTTAATATGCCACAGGAAGATACGGCACCCCTTACTGTCACTTTGTTAAAGTGAAGTGCGGCCGTGAAGTGTTTGTGGGCTCTTGGCCAGCAAATACCTAAAATTTGGCTTATTTACAGAATTTTACTTATTTACATATCCTGATAAGTGGAAATGAGCTTCGTAGCTCATCCACAAGTTGTGAATTAGCTCAGGGTTATCTTCCGTAAGTAATCTGCTCTCAAAAAAGAGACTGAAAACGAAAAACAATCTGATTCAAGGCATGCACAACCTGAATTTTGTATCGATTCAGTTTTTTATCTCAAATTATTCTCACTGTTGGCGTAGAAAGTCCAAGTGCCATGCTATGCTGTCAGGCAGATCGACAGGGAATTCTGCCAATCCCTTCTCTTCTCTCACTGCTTCAATGTTTTAACACAGGGTCTGTCCGCACAGTTCTGGTAGGTATTCACGCCTCTTCTTTTCATGGTTTGTCCCGTTTCTTCCAAGTTCTTTATCCAGGTGGGAATCACATGTCTCAATAGAACTCCTCACAAGGGGGCAGAACGAAATTAATGCGGGAGGCCCGCAGTTTACGCACAAAACTATTGCTGTTTTTATTACACATTTATTACATTTAGCTGTATATAATTGTATTAAATGCATTGACTGTGACCACACTGTGGTTTGTTCCGGAAGTGGAGAACATAGGGTCCCCCCCTCCCCCTCCCAACCTCTCACCTAAGATATCATAAAATCATATGTTTTACTGACTCACCCTGTATATCTCTACCACTCATGGAGCCTACTTGTCAGGGGCTCAACTAGCCCAAATGGTTATTGATTACATTAGTTGTACTGTAGAGTTTGTAATCACTGATGTTACAGCAAGTAGTGCTGATAGCAGGGGAAGTACTGTATTGCAAGTATTTTTCTACAACTCATAGAGCCTACTTGTCAGGGGATAAACAGGCCCAAGTTGAGTACATTAGTTATACCTGTACTCTACAGTTTATGATCTCTGATTGATGTTCCAGCATTGTGTAGTACTGATGGCAGGGGAAGCACTGTATTGCAAGTATTTCTCTACAACTCATAGAGCCTACTTGTCAGGGGATAAACAGGCCCAAGTTGAGTACATTAGTTATACCTGTACTCTACAGTTTATGATCTCTGATTGATGTTCCAGCATTGTGTAGTACTGATGGCAGGGGAAGCACTGTATTGCAAGTATTTCTCTACAACTCATAGAGCCTACTTGTCAGGGGATAAACAGGCCCAAGTTGAGTACATTAGTTATACCTGTACTCTACAGTTTATGATCTCTGTTTGATGTTCCAGCATTGTGAGGTACTGATGGCAGCGGATGCACTGCATTTCAATTATTTCTCTACAACTCATGGAGCTTATGTGTCATGGGCTCAACAGCCCTAATTTGATTACATCACTTGTACTTTACAGTTTGTGATCTCTGATGTTCCAGCATCCTGTATTACTGATAGCAGGGGAAGCACTGCATTTCAATTATTTCTCTACAACTCGTGGAGCTTATGTGTCATGGGCTCAACAGCCCTAATTTGATTACATCACTTGTACTTTACAGTTTGTGATCTCTGATGTTCCAGCATCCTGTATTACTGATAGCAGGGGAAGCACTGCATTTCAATTATTTCTCTACAACTCATGGAGCTTATGTGTCATGGGCTCAACAGCCCTAATTTGATTACATCACTTGTACTTTACAGTTTGTGATCTCTGATGTTCCAGCATCCTGTATTACTGATGGCAGGGGAAGCACTGCATTTCAATTATTTCTCTACAACTCGTGGAGCTTATGTGTCATGGGCTCAACAGCCCTAATTTGATTACATCACTTGTACTTTACAGTTTGTGATCTCTGATGTTCCAGCATCCTGTATTACTGATGGCAGGGGAAGCACTGCATTTCAATTATTTCTCTACAACTCGTGGAGCTTATGTGTCATGTGCTCAACAGCCCTAATTTGATTACATCACTTGTACTTTACAGTTTGTGACCTCTGATGTTCCAGCATCCTGTATTACTGATAGCAGGGGAAGCACTGCATTTCAATTATTTCTCTACAACTCGTGGAGCTTATGTGTCATGGGCTCAACAGCCCTAATTTGATTACATCACTTGTACTTTACAGTTTGTGATCTCTGATGTTCCAGCATCCTGTATTACTGATAGCAGGGGAAGCACTGCATTTCAATTATTTCTCTACAACTCGTGGAGCTTACGTGTCATGGGCTCAACAGCCCTAATTTGATTACATCACTTGTACTTTACAGTTTGTGATCTCTGATGTTCCAGCATCCTGTATTACTGATGGCAGGGGAAGCACTGCATTTCAATTATTTCTCTACAACTCGTGGAGCTTATGTGTCATGGGCTCAACAGCCCTAATTTGATTACATCACTTGTACTTTACAGTTTGTGATCTCTGATGTTCCAGCATCCTGTATTACTGATGGCAGGGGAAGCACTGCATTTCAATTATTTCTCTACAACTCGTGGAGCTTATGTGTCATGGGCTCAACAGCCCTAATTTGATTACATCACTTGTACTTTACAGTTTGTGATCTCTGATGTTCCAGCATCCTGTATTACTGATGGCAGGGGAAGCACTGCATTTCAATTATTTCTCTACAACTCGTGGAGCTTACGTGTCATGGGCTCAACAGCCCTAATTTGATTACATCACTTGTACTTTACAGTTTGTGATCTCTGATGTTCCAGCATCCTGTATTACTGATGGCAGGGGAAGCACTGCATTTCAATTATTTCTCTACAACTCGTGGAGCTTATGTGTCATGGGCTCAACAGCCCTAATTTGATTACATCACTTGTACTTTACAGTTTGTGATCTCTGATGTTCCAGCATCCTGTATTACTGATAGCAGGGGAAGCACTGCATTTCAATTATTTCTCTACAACTCGTGGAGCTTACGTGTCATGGGCTCAACAGCCCTAATTTGATTACATCACTTGTACTTTACAGTTTGTGATCTCTGATGTTCCAGCATCCTGTATTACTGATGGCAGGGGAAGCACTGCATTTCAATTATTTCTCTACAACTCGTGGAGCTTACGTGTCATGGGCTCAACAGCCCTAATTTGATTACATCACTTGTACTTTACAGTTTGTGATCTCTGATGTTCCAGCATCCTGTATTACTGATGGCAGGGGAAGCACTGCATTTCAATTATTTCTCTACAACTCGTGGAGCTTATGTGTCATGGGCTCAACAGCCCTAATTTGATTACATCACTTGTACTTTACAGTTTGTGATCTCTGATGTTCCAGCATCCTGTATTACTGATAGCAGGGGAAGCACTGCATTTCAATTATTTCTCTACAACTCGTGGAGCTTACGTGTCATGGGCTCAACAGCCCTAATTTGATTACATCACTTGTACTTTACAGTTTGCGATCTCTGATGTTCCAGCATCCTGTATTACTGATAGCAGGGGAAGCACTGCATTTCAATTATTTCTCTACAACTCGTGGAGCTTATGTGTCATGGGCTCAACAGCCCTAATTTGATTACATCACTTGTACTTTACAGTTTGTGATCTCTGATGTTCCAGCATCCTGTATTACTGATAGCAGGGGAAGCATTGCATTGCAAGTATTTCTCTACAACTCATGGAGCTTACTTGTCAGGGGCTCAACAGGCCCAAGTGATTATTGATTATGCCACTAAAGATAGATTAGTATAATTTTTTTACAATAATCTTTTCCTTGTACAAATTTATTTGTAATTGAAACGTACCATGGAATCAGTGTCATAAGTTGTACTATTTGGTCTTTTTGACATTGGGTGCTTAAACTTAAGCTTGTGTTGGAAAGAGTCACTTAATGCTCTGGTGATGAAATAGCTTTACTTCATAAACTCTAGACCATAACTTCTCTAGCAATGTAAAAAATTTATATCAGAAGTCTTATTGTCCTTTGTATCTTAGACCCAAATTAAATAATTTGTTTTTAAATCAAATCTCATACATAACTCCCAAGACTATTAGAGTGTCTCTTTGTCCAAACTAACAATGTCCAAAAAATAGCCACGACTGACACAAATAGACCACGAGCCTGATGCCTTGAGAATTTTTGTCAGGGTATCCAGTATCACATCAAAAAGAAATTTGAGATCAACTCAAAATTTTTGAGGCTTTAAATTTGAAATTCTTGTTAAAAAAACTTCTTGTTTGTACCTGCTAGCACATTAAAACCCACCATAAAAACCTAAACTATACTCAATTCCACGTTCACCGTGCAGTACGGAGCGCCCGTATGCCATGTATTTCAAATGGGAGTTTCCGCGCTACTAGCCGTCCTCACAACATCAACACCCAAGAACCTCTACTGCGCTACTTCCTACCAATGCATAAACCCTTTTAATTTCGTTAAGGATTTTATTTGAGTGAGAATTGAGTTATTTATCACTTAAATACCTATCTACTCATTTAACTAAAAATATTTAACAATGAAATTTAAAGAACCATTTTCTTATAACTAAAAAATGACTATAATAATTTATACACTAATCAAAACATCTTAGAAAACATTTTTGAAAAAAATTCATACTACTACCATTATATTTTGATTATTTTAGCGAATTTTCCATACAAGGGAGCTATTATCGAAGTCCTCATGGTAAGACCTGGACCCGGGACAGATTTACTTTTTTGTTTTGAGGTCCCTAGAGGCCAAAGCACCATCCGTTCAGAGCTTAAACCATTTTGTAGAGCTTAAAAAACAAATAATTTAGTATATTGAAGCATTATGCGCCTAATGTTTACGGAGAAAATAAAAAAAAAATTGTAAATTTAAAATTCTCATGTTATTCTTATGGAGAACTAGCAGAGTACCCGTCCTTCGTACGGGTTTGGCATATACGTATAAAATGCTTATTCCAGTTATACTCAAGCTTTGCGTTTGCAATGGGGGAGGACACCATTTGATAAAATGTGCTTCTTTAAATTTACGGTATACTATAGTATGACTCATCTACCATAGCCATAATATTCTACCACTTCACCTAATCAATAAAAAAAAAAATTGTTAAAGATTCGCAAAATATCACAAATGATTAATGAAATTAAAAACATAAAAGTAACTGTAAACAATCCTACTTTGACAGTTCTCCAACCAACTTTTTAAGTTGAAACAGCTGACTAAATTCTTTTATTCCCTTCAAATATGAATACTCATAAGGTTAACATGAGGAACCACAGAGCCACTGGGGTGGAGCCCTAAAGGATTTTTGAGATAATAATATGCCTATATGTTAATCGTGAATGTGAGCTATCATCATGCCAAGTTTCAGCCCAATCCGTCCAGTAGTTAATGCATGATTGAACATCAAACAAACAAACAAACACACAAACTTTCACATTTATAATATTACTAGCTAGAGAACAATGAACAATGTTATAAATGTGAAAGTACCCGTCCTTCGTACGGGATTGGCATATAAGTATAAAATGCTTAGTACAGTTATACTCAAGCTTTGCGTTTGCAATGGGGGAGGACACGGTATAATAAAATTTGCTTCTTCAAATTTACGGTATACTATAGTATTACACATCTACCACAGCCATAATGTTCTACTGCCTCACCCAAACAAAAGAAAAAATAAATTATTAAAGATTCACAAAATATCACAAATTATTCGTGAAATTAAAAACATAAACATAACTGTAAACAGACATTTCTCACCGCGTATCACAGTTTTTTGTTGCTGCTTAGTTCAAATTAGCTGTTTTCATAAATGAACAAAAAATAATAGTGCTGCAGTTGGTATAACTTTTAATGCTTTTGCATATCATAGAAACGACCTTTTTAGTTGAAACAGCTGGCTAAATTCTTTTTAATTCCATTTCAATATGAGTACTCATAAGGTTAACATGGGAAACTCCAGAGCCACTGGGGCGGAGCTCGAAAGGATTTTTGAGATAAGAATATTAGTAAGATTATAGTAAGAAGTAAGATAAGATAAGTAAACTGTTGTAGTTTGTTTATGAACATATTTTGATCAAATTCGGAAAATGCATTCTTTTCTTACTAAACTATTAACATCTGACAAAAAAAACTTTTTTACTCTCCCTGTTGCAGCAAACCTAAGTACTCGTTAAAATAATTATATTTTAATAGGGAATAAATTTAATATTTTAACAACAACATTTTAGTGTAAGTCCAATCAGGCAAATGGAAATTCGCTTAGTCTGCAGGTTTGCTGCGGTGGGAGTATTTACACAATACCATACTTTATATTTATTTTGATGATTGGATTTATTATTCTTTTTTGGTCAAATTAACTCACCTTAATTGCCTTCTGTGATTCATTGCAACAGAACTACACGCCCAAATAGACACACTTCTTCCATCAAACTGATTTTATCCAGCTTTAAGTACCTATATAAAATTAGCAGATGTATTATTTTATTGATATAGGGCAAGCGTTTTATTGGTCATAAAAAGTAAGTAATTGTCACTGGAATCATCAACGGATGTACGTAGCCTGTTAACTGAGGCGTTGCACAATGACATATACATTTTTTTTTAGACAAGACATTTTAATAAAAACTACACTTATTTATCCATAACATAATTCTATATTTTTGAAACATGTAAAATTTTGTATTTTTTTGGACGGAGACTAATTATTGAAAGAAAATAGTTCTACTTGAATTTACCTTACTACTAATTTAACCCAATAACTATTTTAAATACGTTATGAACTAAATCGGTAACGTATTCCAATTAATTCACAGTCAATGCTCAAATTGTATATTTTAATAGAGTTCAAAACTTAAATCCAATGTACGATACTGAATGTGGTTAAACATTCAACTGAAATAAACCTTTATTTTTAAACGAAAACCATATATTTTTAATATTCCAAGTCAAATTACCAACCTATGTTGATAAATACCATAAAAACACAGAAATTAGAAAAATGAACTTGAGCGCCTTCTCGAGCGTCGCGAGGACTGTTGGCGCATCCCGCATGACAGAAAACACGAAGTTTACAGTAATTGTAGTAGCAAGGCTATCTTCCATAAGACCTGTACTGCACGGTGAACATGGAATTGAGTATAGCTCTGATTCAAAGAGAACTATTTAAAACAATGCAAGTTAGATGGTTAAAATATTCCAACTAAACAATGAAAAGAAGAACGTCAAAACTATCAAAGGTGTACAGTTATCTTCTCTAAATGGTTAAGACATAAAACTAACCAAATCATATACAGGGTGTCTTGCAACCCCATATGAACAAATTTTGTTATGTTTTAAGTCTCTAGCTCATCGGGAAGTTAGTTTAAAATCTGCAAAATTTGTGCCTAACAGACAAGTAAGCGAGCTAATAAAACGTGTTAATATCATAGTTAGTTACTCCCACCGCTTACCTATGCTAAAGGTTGTTGACAAGCTAATGGGAGAAAGTATGTGTCAGATTGCCGAAACCGTTTATTTACAAAACTTAAAACTATATTGACTTGACTTAGATCAAAATAATGGTTATTCACAGTATTGACTTGTGAAAATACTATTTTCCAGTTTACTATAATTAGGTTTAATGCAAGCAAATTTAAAAAGAATAAGATTCAAGTTTCATACCATAATTAAGAGAGTAATGTTAGGGAATTTTAGTGAGTTTTCTCATTTTTAGATACATTTTTTGTAAAACTATAATTAATTATGATCTATCACTCTGCACTGACCTAAGCAAAAACCTCCAAAAATCTGTGATGTTTAAGGTTGTGTAAATAAGACGAATAATTAATTCTTTAAAGAATAAATCAAATTGTAATTTTAATCTTAGGTAATACTGTATGTATACTGTTTTTACCAAATCATGTAGGCCTTGAAATTGTTTATCTACTTACTGTAATGATGCTTGCTGATTTAATACAGTTTTATGTCAATCACAGTGTAATGTTTATTGTTTATTTTACCTTACCTTTTAGTGTAGATTAAATATCTTTACCTATCACTATGGAAATTATCACATTGCCATACCTGTAAACAGTAGGCCTACTAAAAATAAATCATCGCCGCTCTACGGGTGGTTGATTATTACAGTATCCATCATTACTGCTACTTAAGTTTAATACACTTGTGGGGACTTGGAAGCCCAATAGCAGCAAGCAATTTTCTTTACTATTAAAAACAAACACAAATAAATTAATGCAATACTGTGGTTTCTCTTAAATTTGTTTTCATATTTTAATGATAGAGAATCCCGACCCATGTCGTCTTAGTCGATAATCAACCAGCGCCAGATCTAGAAAAAATTCTGTACCGAATAGGTCAAGGTTGACATTTATTGACTTTTGGTCTATTGACTGTGCTTTTACATACTTGAATCGTTGCAAGTTGCAAATAAAAAACCCTGCTACGTTAACCTAGAAATCCACTTTGCCTCCTCAAACTTGAGGGGTAAGGCTTCCACCAGAACGGAGCCAAATAATATGTGATTTCACGACCAGGGTATCACGACCATCACAGGTTTTTTCACGACCAAAATAGCCTAATCAATTGTAGTGTGTTATGGTCGTGAACATAAATTTATATACCATTGTAAATTGCACACTTTAGTTTAATTGCAACACAAAATTTTCTTATACCAGTCCAATTGAAGGATGTAAAAATGTTATTTTTAATTATATTTACATTGACAGATAATTTCATTACCTTATTTATATAAGGTAACGCTTATATTGTATAAGGCGGTGTTCTAGCGAATTTCCCTATAGGGAAGTAGCTATTACCGTGGCACGGTAAGACCTAGGCCTGGGACTGATTTACTTTTTCATTTTTATGCCCCCAGAGGCCAAAAACATCATTCGTTCAAATTTTTATATATGTATATATTAGGGTGGGTCGAAAAAAATTAATAATTTTTTTTCGAGTTGTAATACCTTGGAAAAGTTGCTAAACTGTAATACCAAAACAGTGTAAAAATATAATAAATAAATATTGGTTGTTATCTTCCAGTCGCGCATGTGCTCTAAAGTTTGAACAAAAAATGAAAAACTCATATTTTTCAGAAATTTTTAAAATTTTAGAATTTTTACATGTAATGGTTTCAAATACCATCTACAAGACAATAAGAAATTGATATTTAAATAATAGTATTGTATGTTAATATCTTCCAATCGCGCATCGGCTGCAAATATTGCTAAAAATCTAGAAAAAACGTAATTTTCTAATAGTTTTCTTTAAAATATAACAATCAATATCAAAATGTAATACCGAAAATCTGTTTGTACACATTCAGATAGTAACCTAACAAAAACAACAGATGAAGTCAGAATTGATCTTTTGGTCGCGCATAGCAATACAAATTCACTTTAGCGTGGCACTTTTGGGTCAGTGACCCGAGCGATGCCATGTGATTCCGAAGTTTTTTAAGATTCCAAAATTGAACTACAGGATGGAGATGATAATGTATCTCTGTGCTGACAAACTAAATTTACGATTCTAGTGACAGCAACCAAGGATCTTTACCTAAACTTAAAAAAAAGAACTATGGTAAGCAAATGAGGATGAACCTTAACTATACTGTTTTGGTTAGCGACCGTTCCGATCGTGCTACAACTGCAATAGCCCCAATTGTTTTACATGATGTTGGCATAGTCACTTTTCTGACAATTTGCAAGTAAGATAATTGTTAAATAAGGCGATGGCGAGTGTGTCATTACATTTGGAGCAAGTGAAGTATTTGTTCACGGACCGTGGTAAAGGTTAAATAATCGACTGTGACCTTGGAATATTCTACCCGAGTTTTATAACCAATGTTAATGTAACCTTCAATGGTTGTGTTGTATATTTACAATTTTATTAGTTATTGTAGTGTGTTTACTTATTTTTAAATGCTCAGGGGTTTGAATCATTTTACGCCTGTATAAAGCATTTTCTCACTCTTGTCCCCCTAGATTTGTTACTTAGACTATTTACTTTTAAGCCATAGCTAACTGTTGTTTTAGGGGTTTGTACCTTTATTTAACGCCTAATAATTATGTAGGTGTTTATTTATGTCACGTGATTTACATTTTGACTTTGTCTGATACATAAATTTATCAATTTGGGCACAGTTTCTCATTTTATTTTCTAGCTATCAATAATTATAAATGTATTTAGAAAACACCGTACTTTGTATGGCATTATTTGAACTGAAACGCTTTTATTTAAAATAATGTACAATTGTAATTTACATACTTGAAGGGAAATTATTATTTTAATTAATACATTAACATAATGTTTATTCTTAATATAATCGCAGAGAGGCACAGGTTTTTGGTAAACATCGTCTATGTAAAGTTTTGTAAGGATCTAAGTAAAAACTTTGAATACCGTGAGAAGAATTCACACAAATTAAGTTTATGTTTCGATGTTCTTTGTATTCGGCCTAGTGACTTTTCCAACATCGTGCAAAACACTAGAGGCTAATCGCAGTTGTAGCACGGTTGAAAACCCCATATCGATGGCAAAACAATGCAGTAGGCCTAGAGTTAATCCTCATTTGCCTAACATAGGTCTTTTTTTAGCGAATTTCCCCTGGGAATAAGGGACGCGTTGCAGAAAGTCAACAGTGCCGGAAGGTCAAATAATTTATACTTGTACCGATAAGTCAAAAACTACAATGTTTGCAGTGTCTGTAACTTCAACCTGAAGGCGAGTTAGCGTAGCGAACGAGCTAACCTGAAGGCAAATAAAGCGATTGAGTCATTGGGAATTTGACATAATGCAACAGCAGTTTTAATATAACAAAATACGATCAAATACACAAGTTCTGTTTCGCTGAGTCAACAGTGCCGGAAGGTCAAAAGTATATTCTGTTAAAAACAATGATAGTCCTCTCGACGCATAACTTCAATAATTTTGTATTTTGGTGTACTTAAAATTGTGCTAAAATTTTGAAAATTGGCACAGAGCTTTTTGGTTAATCCTACTTGATGACTCTTTTGTTGGAACTTAAAACTATTTACCGATCTAATTAATAAAAATTGATGTGTATATTGAAATTGTTTTAAATCGTGATTTGTAATATGAAAAAGTTAGCATACGAGAATTTTTTTATTTTTTGGTTAGAGAGGTTTTGTCTGTGGCAAAGTTGTAGCCAAAAGTGTGATACGTAAAATATTCTTTTTTTATTTTTTACAATCAGTGGTTCAATAGATAACTTGGGTTGAAGAGGAAGGAAAATTTAGCATATCGCAATGCATGGAAAGAAACTATATCGTACGATGCGCCTGCTGAGTGGACTTATACTTTACAGTTCTAAGGACAAGAAAAAGATGAATATACAAATCACCAGTACATTCATATTACAGAATTTATAAAACATCTTCCTGTATTACCAGCTTAAATTTTTCACTTAAATTAATAAGAATACATCATATACAGGGTGTTCAAAAAAGATGGGGACATATTTTACCGAGTGATTCCTTGGGTCAAAATAAACAGAAAATCAAGAATAACATTTTTTCCAAAATTGCTTTGTTAACCAGATATCCGCCATTTTGTATTTTTTATATACAAATATTTATCCTTAGACTTTTCCAACCGATCTTTAAGAAATTTGGTACGTAGGTTAAGGTAAACAAGTTCAGTGTTAGAAAAAAAATCATCTTGATTCAACTAAAAATTTAAAAATGGTGGCCATTATGGTTTTTTATAAATGTATTTAATATTTATATAGTTTTCCACTTCGAGGTACCATGGCGTGCCACTAATTATCACTTATAACTGTAGTTAGATCTCAGCTATGTTCTCATAACCTACAGGTACTCATAAACCTGTATAATAATACAGGTTTATGAGTAGAACTGAGCATTTACTAATGGTTATACTGTACATACAACTAATAAAGGAATGACAATAACTAATCATTCTACTGCCATGTGCCGAGTGATTCACAAGGCCCTAACCATTCGACTTACTGAAGTTCTAAAATTACTTGCTTAGCCATGAACATTACTACACTACTTCATAAAACGCTCCCACAAGCTTTCGCACAGCAAAAATCCATTGACGGTAGGACACTGGCTGGCACTACTGGACAATGACAATGGCCATTGGCCAAGTTTGAGCGTACGTGCCAAAGCTATGATTCATAGTGCAAAGGGGTTCAACTAACCGGCGTCAGAAAAAGAAGGTGTAAGAGGCGCATAATTTTCTCTTCGACTTGTTTCGGGCACAGCCTAGCAGGAAATTTAGACCCGCTCAAGCGCTGTTCTGTTTGTTCTTAACAATAATACGAATGAAAAGATTCTTAAATTCGAATCATGGATTCAAAATAGAATTAATATGATAACACATTGTTAAGTAAATGATACATTGGTAATTGAATGTCCAATTTAAATAAAGCGTACTTTTTTTCATTCCCAATTCATTTTAGTTGAATTTTTCAACAAGCCCCGATGAGTTGATTGCCCTGTATAATGAAGAACACCGACAGTAGAAAGTTACCTACGAACGACGAACGAGGATGTTAGCCGAAGCATGCACGAAATCATGTGGTTCTTAACAGTAATGTTAACAAATTTTACCGCTATTTAACAATAGAAAGAACATTTATAAACATACTCGTGACAACGGGTGTACCATGGCTACATTATCAATGACAAACATGGACAACCTTAAGGGACCGCGCCGAACTTGGACAACGACACACGCGGACAACGTTAAAGTTGGACAGATTAAGTTTCCAGGGTTGTCGTTTGCGTGCAACGTTACCCTTGGACACTTTTGAATGTGTCCAGATTCGTCGTGTCGTGCAACGCCACCCCTGGACAACTTAAAAACTTGTCCATGTTCGTTGTTTGCATGCAACATTAAACTTGGACACATTTGAATGTGTCCAGTTTTGTCGTGTCGTGCAGCGCCACCCCTGGACAACTTAAAAACCTGTCCAGGTTCGTCGTTTGCATG